CTGGAGAGAAATTACTGGTGATTGCTCTATTTGTGTTTTGTTAAACTTTTTTTTTCTCCAGAATTGCTTTAATGTGTATAAGAATCAAAAATGCTGTTTTTTTGTGGCAGAAAGAGAAGATTCCGTGGGATGCCATGATATGCAAGTAATCTAGTAGCTTCACAAGAAAAGCATGTCAGGGAACTTTGGAAGTGGGCATTCCCACTCTTGAAATGGGCTCAGAGCAGCAGCCCAGTCAGAGGCGAAAGGAGACCCAACTACCAAGAGCCCGTAAGTCCTCTAGGGTCTCAGTGGTGGAGCCTGGCCTGCGCCTTCGGTTTCTGGCTCATGAGGTGAGGTCTGTGGGCCCCCGAGCTCCTGTCTCCCCGTCTGGATGAGCGGGATCTGCCAGCTTTGCCTAAAGGCCAAGTGCTAGAGGAGCCGGTCAGAGACTATCACCTGAGGCTCCTTTTTTTTTTTTTTTTTTTTTTAAGTTTATTTATTTTGAGAGAGCACGAGGAGGTGAAGGACAGAGAGAATCCCAGGCAGGCTCCACACTGTCAGTGCAGAGCCTGATGCAGGGCTCGAACTCACAAACCAAACCATGAGATCATGACCTGTGCCAAAACCAAGAGTTGGACACTTAACCAACTGAGCCGTGCAGCCTGGCACCCCTCAGATGAACTTTTTGAGGGGTGGTACATGCGCTTTTGGGTGAGCTGACCAAGAAAACACGAATTCCCTAAAAATTTCCAGGTAAGTGCCACCCTTGTCTGCTGTATGGGCCATTCGTCTGCTTGCGTGGAGGTGTTTTGTTTTGCCCTGTTATCTTGTATTTAGTGGAAAAAGGTCGGAGTTCTGCCCGTCCCAGGGAGAAGGAGCCTTCTTGTATTTCAAGGAGGGTAGGATGCACTCTTCCTAGAACAAAGCGGGGCCTAAAAGTTCTCACCTGTGCCCGCGCTTGGGGCAGAGCGGACAGACTTCCAGGGGCCCTGCAGTCACACCGCCCCAGGAGCCCCGGTACAGAAACCCGTGGTTTCGGAGGTTAAGAGCTCCAGCCTTGGGGCTGGAAGGCCTCGGTTTGGACCTTACTGAATCTCAGTTTCCCCGTCTATGACGTGGTCATTCACCGATCGGCCTGACTGATGGAGCTGTTCCTTGGATCCGGTCTGTGTGAGGGGCTGGCGGTAGGACCTGGCACGTGGTAAAGCCCTCGTTCACTTCCGTTCTTGCTGTCACTGTGCTTGGTGCTTTGTAAGAAGAGATCATTTGCTTCTCACAGTAAACCTGCTGTGAAAGGGCTCCAGGTCAGCTTGTGAAGGGTGGTGGGGTCCCCGAGCCCCAGTCTGTGGAGCCCCAGAGCTGGAGTCCTTCATCTCACGCCAGGTGCCCGTCTGTTAGGAAGCCAGTGCTGCTGTAAGATAAAAGTTGCCATGGTAGCCACTCCGCACGCCTGGATTTCCTGTGAGTGACTCAGCCCCTTCCAGGGGTGCTGGAGGTCAGTTCCTCCTGCGACCCAGCCCCCACACCGGCCCTTCTCATCTTCTTTCCTCCTATTGTCCCCCACTTCCAGCAGCCTAGGTGTGTCCTAGATTTGCAGAGTGGCGAGTGTCCTGGTTCACCGTGAATGACGACACTCAGGGTACCTACAATGCTTCCCAAGGGAACTCCCTCCAGAAAGGCCTCAGAAGCCAATGTGTCACTCAGCCCAAACCCAAGGGGACCAGTCTTCATGTTCTATCTCAAAGTCGACCCTAAAGCTTGACTCATTCACTTTTTTTTTTTACATTATTTTTTAAATTATGGTAAAATGCATATAAAGTCAAATTTGCTTTTTTTTTTAAGTATATGATTCAGTCTACCTCCACTCTTGACTTGAAGAGCTTTATTATTTTTTTTAATGTTCATTTTTAAGAGAGACAGCATGAGTGGGGGAGGGTCAGAGAGAGGAGACAAAGAATCTGAAACAGGCTTCAAGCTCTGAGCTAGCTGTCAGCACAGACCCCAGCGCAGGGCTTAAACCCACGAACCTTGAGATCATGACCTGAGCCAAAGTTGGACACTTAACTGAGCCACCCAGGTGCTCCCCCAAAAATATGTATTTTTAAAAATACATTTATGGGGGCCGCCTAGGTGCTTCAGTTGGTTAAGTGTCCAACTCTTGATTTCTGTTCATGGGATCGAGCCTCACACCAGGCTCTGGCTGACAGCATGGAGCCTGCTTGTGATTCTTTCTCTCCCTCTCTGCTCCTCCCCCCACCTTGCTGTCTCCCAAAATAAATAAACTTTTTTTTTTTAAAGTTTGTGTAGGGGCGCCTGGGTGGCTTAGTCGGTTAAGCGTCCGACTTTCGCTTAGGTCATGATCTCGCGGTTCGTGGGTTCTAGCCCCGCGTCGGGCTCTGTGCTGACTGCCGGCTCAGAGCCTGGAGCCTATTTCAGAGTCTGTGTCTCCCTCTCTCTCTGACCCTCCCCTGCTCACGCTGTCTCTCTCTCTCTCCTAGAAATAAATAAAACATTTTAAAAATAAATTTAAAAAGTTTGTGTAAAAAAAATACATTTATTAAAATACATTTTAGTTCTTAGTTTCTAAACAGTGTCCTGTGACTCCCAGCCACTTGGAGGAAGTTGAACTCTGAACCATCTGACCCCTGTTCTAGGGGCCGCTGACAGTTTGCTCAGTGGCCCTAATAAGTACAGTCAGGAGGGCTGCCACTTGTGCCACGAAGCAGCCATGGAGAGAAGTGTTGAGGGCATCTCCCAATCTCTACCACGTTCTCTACCACTTTCTCTTGAAACTTCTCATCTCTCTAAAAATCTTCTATTTCTGGGACGCCTGGGTGGCTCAGTCGGTTGGGCGTCCAACTTCAGCTCAGGTCGAGCCCCCTGTTGGGCTCTGTGCTGACAGCTCAGAGCCTGGGGCCTGCTTCAGATCCTGTGTCTCCCTCTCTCTCTGACCCTCCCCTGCTCATGCTGTCTCTCTCTCTCTCTCTCTCTCTCTCTCTCTCTCAGAAATAAAACATTAAAAAATATATATACCTACTCAAAAAAATAAAAATCTTCTATTTCTGCCATTTTTCATGACGTTTCTCCTTTAGTAGTGAGACCTTTGTGCCGAGTCCTTTACACACTTGGTGCTCATTCATTCCTTAGAACAGTCCACTCTCCAGGTGAGGTGTAGAGACTCCGAGGTCCAAGAACCTGCCCCAGTCACTTGATGGCAGCTGTAATAGCCACTGCCCTCCCATTTGAGGTTTCTGGATCACTTCCTTTCTGTTTTTTCTTTCCTTTTTTTTTTTTTTTTCTTTTTTCTTAGGTTAAAAATCTTTTTTTCCTGGGCCTCCCACTGGCACCAAAATGAAGAGGTGTGTCAGTTCCTAATTAGTAGATAATTGGTAGAACTTATCTTGACAGCCACACAGAGACCTTTGAACTATGCCTACCGAACTCTGTTGTTGGAGCCCTTTGTGTGGGTTGGCTTAGTGGTTACTCTGTAGAGTGAGCACTACGTTCCCTGCTTTGGAGTGTTCACAAAGAGCCTAGGTGGCCACGTCTTGGGGTTTTTATGGAGAATTTGTGTGTGTGTTACCGGGGAGACAGACCGACCGTACGATTCTCTGATGTGCACAAGCGCTTGGCAGCTTCCGACGTGTGTGATGCGAACTTAACGTTTCTTCTCTCCTCTTCCTCTTGCTTTGCTCAGAACACCTGGCAGGGCAAGGCCAACAAAGATTTGGTTGTGTGTTAAAAATGCCCAAATGTCACAGTTGGAAAGAATCTCGAGCCCACTGAGTTCGGTCCTCCATTCAGCATCTGAGCGTGAGAGAGTGGGAGCGAATTTAATAGGGCCTCTCACGATTGCCCACAGAGCCCACAGCCTCCAGTGGCTTTGTCCTAAAGTGTTTGATCTACCGAAGGGAGTATGTTCCGTAGCTTTGTAGCCATTCCAGGAGTATGATTTTAGTCTCATTGATCAGAAGTTTCAGCGCTAAGAACAATGTCTAACACTAGTAGGTATCCGATACACACTGACTGATCTTCCCGACTCTCGCATCTTCGATGTCCATAAGTGTGATAAGATCACCGAGTGCTGTCCTGGCTCTGACATGAATGTGCTAAGTAAACATACTGACTCCGCGGCTCCAAGTGCTCTTTCCAGTTCATGTGTTCTTTTCTGTGGTCGTCCATTCACCTCTCCAGAGTCTCCTGGTGCTGTCAGCCAGAGCCTCAGGTCAGCATGAAAAGTCCAGAGCAATCACCGAGACCATTGCCGCCCAGGACACACCTGGCCGTGCGGGGAGTCTCGGTGCCTGGTCTAGAAAGCGCCTCCTGAGGGCTGTGACCTCCTCTGCTTTCCTGCCACCAGCAGTACTGGGCACCAGCGCCCTCCTCACACTTCTTCCCAGCTTGAACCTGACTCCTGGACAAGCAGCCAGGAGACCCCAGCAACCAAGTTCCTTCAGTTCAAACCGTGCATTGATGACGTGCCACTCCATTCATCGTGCTCGAACACCGCCGCACCCATCCTCCCATGTGTGGGCCCCCGGCCCCGGTCCCACTGGCACCAGGCAGCCCCCCCTGTGGCCCACCAGCTTCAGGGCTCTGCCGGCCCAATGATTTGTCCGCCTGCGACCGCAAGACTGTTGGGCTCTGCACGGAAGGGCTACTGTGCTCGGGGTTCATAGGCTCTGGATTTGAAACTCCTGGGGCCCGGCCCACCCACACTCACCCCCTTCCCAGACCCTCGGGTTATCCATCTGCCCACCCTGAGCTGCGGAAAGTCCTTCCTCTGCTTACCTTACAGCCGACTGAACAAAAGCAGGCTCCCGCCCCGCCCCACGCCTTTCAGGCGGGCTTCCCCATAGCAGCAGCACCCACTGACGAAGGAAGGAGACCCTTGGGGTGTGGGCATGAGTGGTGCTGACTGGCAGTGAGCTGCCCCTCCGCCCCCAGATCCCAGCGGGATCTCTGCCCTGAACGGAGCTGGTTGGGAGCAAGCTCACACTCTTGTTGCTTTCTTCTAGGAAGATGACGAGAAGCTAATTGAGGAGATCCAGAAGGAGGCCGAAGAAGAGCAGAAGAGAAAGAACGGAGGCAAGCGCTCCCCCAGCACGGGCCCCCGCCAGCCACAGTCCGTGTGCGCGGGGGAGGGGGGCCTTCACAGCCGGCCCTCAGGTAGCTGTGGACACGCTCCGCCCAGGCCCCTGGCTTCCTGTGAGGGAAGGCTTGGGGGAGCGCCGGAGAGTTTCCGCGTCCCCTCAATGGTCAGGAGGTCCCAAGGGTGGGGTATGCCCAGGAGGCAGACAGAAAGAACCCAAACCAGACTGAAAAGATGGTAGGCCCACCCTGGCCTCTCTGAGGTCACAAAGGAAAGAAACGGAGTTTCTGGAAGTGGCCATCCAGGCCCTGGCTCCGAAGGAAAGGCCCTCACAGAAGCTTCACCTGTTCTGAGCTGAATCTATCCTCCACCTTCCAGATTAATCAGTGCATCTGCATTCGCTCAGACAGCGGGGGTGGGGGAGCATATACCCATCAATCAGCCTCGCTGTGTCCTGGCCACCCCTCCTGTGCCCACAGGCAGGAATGATCCTAGGGGTCCCATGTTTGAGGCCTCCCCTCATTCTCTGGGCCCTCCGCTTGGGGCAGCCGGGAGGGAGGTCAGGATGTGCAGGCTTGGCCTCGCCCCACACACAAGCAAGCGCGGTCATGTTCCATTGTCTCGTCTACTAAATCCCATCTCCTGTTCAGAGAACACCTTCAAACGCATCGGGCCCCCCTTGGAGAAGCCTCCGGAGAAAGTCCAGCGGATCGAAGCCCTCCCGAGGCCCGTCCCGCAGAACCTGCACCAGCCCCAGATCCCACCATACGCCTTCGTGCACCCGCCCTTCCCCCTGCCGCCCGTCCGGCCCGTGTTCAACAACTTCCCCCTCAACATGGGCCCCGTCCCGGCGCCCTACGTGCCCCCCCTGCCCAACGTGCGCGTCAACTACGACTTCGCACCTGTCCACGTGCCACTGGAGCACAACCTGCCCATGCACTTTGGCCCCCAGCCACGGCGCCGCTTCTGACCACCCGCCGCCTTGTCTCCTCCGGGGAGCCCACCACGCTCCCAAGGCCGTACCTTTCAAAAAGGCGTGATGGACTGGGCTCTCGGAAAGATGGGCTGGGTTTTTTCCTGCTCCTTCCTGGGAAGGGCCACTGCCATTTGGAGAGTTGTCAGCAGGCCAATGCCCTCGAGCACCTGTAACAGGTTCAGTCTGGCACTTGCAGGGCCGAAGAGACGGGGGCAGGAAAACCTCCCCCGAGAGTTCCACCGCCCTAGTGGCTGGTGCAGGGACCCTCCCCAGCGGGCAGCCCATCTCTGCTGTCAGTCCTGTCCCTTCCAGGACCAGGGCAGCGTCTGCCTCCGCCCCTCTCCCAGCCACCTACACAAGTCTCTCACTTAACCACGGAGGCCTTCCTGACCGCGGTGCAGCCTGAAGCATCATAAAGCTGCCGCGACAACAACTGCAGATTGCAGAGGGCCAGGCTGCCCAACCCACGTCCTGGAAGCCAGGCTCTCTTCTCCTACCGGCCCCCCCGCCCCCATACCGCAGCCCACCCGGAGAGAGGCATGGCCTGCTGCCTTGGGCCCATCAGGTGGTGCAGGGCCACGTCCCCAGACCTGGGAGTGCTGCTCAGAGTGGGGTGGCTGCAGGCTGTGTCCCCCAAATCCAGAAGCCCAGGCCACCACCCCCGTGACTGTTCAGGGCTCTCTCTTCTTGCCCTTGGCCCATTCAGTTGAGACCACAGAGAGCTGTCTCGTGCTGTCTGTTCTGTTCTGTAGTTTAAAATATTTGCCATTTACTCACTTTGAACTTACTGAGTTTTCTGTGGCCTACTAGAGTTTCTCTTGCTCCGTCTCTGAAAAGTCCAGTCTGTTACCCACGCCAGGCAGCCGGTGAGGGCGGGACAGTCCTGACACTCGCCAGACAGAACATCTTTATGAAGCAGCTCTGACAGGCTTGGTGGCCCCCCCCAGGCAGCCCAGCTCTCGGGAGCCTCCTTCACCACCAGCCTGGCAGCGAGCACCTTCTACCCTGAGGTCTGGCGGTGGCAGTGGTTTTCTGCAGGGGGACAAATGACCCAGGCTCCACCGGCACCCATCCACGTGGTTGGGGGGGGCCTGCCTGCTCACCACTGGGCAGCCCTTCCCACCCCGGCCTGTGTAGAGAAGCCCCGCCCAGCTCCCCGGGCCTGGTCTCTGTTGCTGTCACTGTATCTCTGATGGCTGTGGGGTTCCCAGCCTGTATGCACAGGCCTCAGAAAGCAGGGTGAGCCTCACGGCCGGACCCCTGTCTCCGTGGGGCCCGTGTCCCTGGGCCATGCGTCATGCACGGTCATCCACTGCCATGAATGTCTCCTGTATTTCAAGGGTTAAATGGGGAGAAGTCTGCTAAGTTGCCCATCCTTCCTCCAGGTAGGGGCTTTGCAGACCGTCGTGTGGGCACAGGGTGGGGCACATGAGGAGAGGTCTGCGCCACCAGGGGCCACTCCCTTTTGGGCTGCCTGCGCCTTGCTGGTTGCCTGAGTGACAGTGCCTTGGGAGACAGTCCCACCGAGGGTGATGGGTGACAGGATTGAAGTCCCTTAAAAACATGTTCCTTATGCATCCCCAAGGGAGGGTCTCAGAGAAGTGAGATTCCCGCAGATATCCCACCAAATGGGGAGGGTGGCTCCAGAGCACACCAGAACATTCTAGGCCCTGTGAGCCAATTCATCCAAGGAGGGAACAAACCAGCCCCCCCTCTGCCCTGTGCCCCAGGGAAGGGGGTTCTGGGCAGCTAAAAGGACAGGCCCCGGGGAGGGGGTCCACCCCCGCCCCCACCATTCAGCGAGTCCACCGGAACCTGGTGTGCGAGATTCTGGCCCAGAAAGGGAGAGGCCAGAACAACTGGCTCTTCCCCAGGCCAAACAGGACTTGCCTTTGAGGTGAATCCTTGCTGTTTCTCACTGTGTGCAGCTGTTAGGAGTCCATTCCTACCTTTCTGAACGGAGGGTGCCAGGTTTCTAATGTTCCTCCTGGGGCTGGGCTGTGGCGTGGCTCACCCGCCTGCAGGAGCCCAATTGCTGTTTGGGGGATGGTCATCGCCGCGAGTTCTGACACTAGCATGAGTCCCCACCTGTCCGTGAAGTATCCCTCTAGGTGCCTGTACCCTGGAGGACCCCAGGTTTCTTACGAAGCAGTCTGCACTGGTGACGGTTTGGGGGAAAGTGGGCCCTTCTGACAGGCCAGCAGGTGGCTGCAAGGTGTGATGACAGGGAACCCCCAGAGATCAGTGGGTCTCGGGGACAGGCAGGAATCCCAGAGGCGACCTGGCACCTTCCCCTCTCTGGGCCACAGTGTTTGTTCCCCGAAACGAGAGACTGCCCGGCGACAGTCCCGTTCTACTTGCCTTAAACTGGAGAGAGGAATCTAGTATTTGCACTTAGCAAAAGATTTTAAAACTTTAAAAAAAATGTGCATGACCTGTCACTTTGTATAAAAATAGCAAAATGATTAGTTTATTAAATTTTTTTCTTTACCTTCCGGTAGTAAAAACACATAAAAAGAAATCTGTTTAAACTACTGTGTGTAAAAAGCCTGTACCATATGTAACCTGGACTTTTTGTAAATAAACGTTTGTGCATTATGCCCCCTCTGGTTGTGTTCATTCATATGCCACCGGCGGACAGGCTGCCACACTCCCACCAGATCACAGGGGCCGCGCAGGCGGGTGGCACGTTCCTGGGGACTGGCTGGGTCTCGCATGACTTGGCACCCTGCTCCGAGGAGGCTGACCCTGAGCTGCCACTGCGAATCCACAGGGTGTGAGCCCAGAGTAACGTGCCTGAGGAGCTGGACCACTTCCCCCCCACCTCACCCCACGCCCCCCCAGAAGGCAGTGGGTGATGCCTCGTGCCAATCCTGCTTGAGCGGGTGGCTACAGAGGCCCAGTTGGGCACAAAGGAGTTTGTTTGCTTGTTTCTTTGTTTCTTGGCCCAGAATCCCCTTCCAGAAGATGTGCTCAGCCCCTCTCCCAGGCCTGGACCGCAAGCCACGCACTGGCCTGGAGAGCAACCTGCAGAAGGGAGGCCAAGCAAAGGCTGGGTGAGTCGGAGGCTAAGCTTGTCCTCCAACACAGGCACATCATCCTGAGAACAGAGCCTCGGGGCTGCACAAGTCCTCTGGAGCCACGTGCCTGCCCTGGCACCCCCCTGCAACGTGCCAGACCGGCGACCTCAGCACACGTGGACTCAAACTTTGCTCAGAGTTTTAATAAAAGGGGGGTTATGCGGCGCCTGGGTGGCTCAGATGGTTCAGCGTCCGACTCGGTTTTGGCTCAGGTGGTGATCCCATGGCCTGTCCTGCCTGCCGTTTGCAACTTTATTGAGTGATTTTTTTTTTTTTTTGCATCTCTGAAAAAAGCATACTGAAATCAATCCAAGACAAGAGTTACCTGCATTCCCAGCTTCTAAACAAGCCCATGCCATCCTGTTGTCATTCCAGCACACATTCGGTATATTACATATTTGCAGCCACACCCTAGACACAAACTGTCCCACGCCCCAGTAGGGAAATGGGTACTGGCCGTTTTCCTAGTCTTCTGCCACCTTTTCCACCGTCCACCCAAGTAACCAGGGTCCTGTTTCTCCTCCCCGCACTCCTGCCAGCACATTCCACGTCCACACCCACTTGCCGCCCTGATTGTTACAAAACTGATCCCATGGGACACCGGCAAGCTCAGTCAGTAGAGCACATGACTCTTGATCTCAAGGCCATGAGTTTGAGCCCCATGTTGGATGTAGAGCCTACTTAAAATTGTTTTCAAAAATGGGGCACCTGAATGGTTCGATCAGGTGTCCCGACTCTTGAACTCCGCTCAGGTCTTGATCTCAGAGTCATGAGTTCAAGACCACATTGGGCTCCGCAAAAAAAAAAAAAAAATTTTTTTTCAGTGATTCCATACCTTTCACGGGACTTAATTTTCTCCTTTTCCAACCATGGGTGCCCTCCAGGTCTGATTGGTTTTCTTTGTGCCTCCCTGATGGAAAATTCAGGAGCTTCCAACTTTCTGCCACCACTGAACACCTCAGTGAATGCCCCTCTTTGATGTTTCAATGGCCATTCTTCCCAGGAGTAGGCTTGTGAATGAAAAGGAAAGACAGGGTACGTATTTGCATGGCTTTTGCTAGAATGCTCTCCAGATTCCTTGAGAAAGCAGCCTCTGGCCACCAGTCCTGGGCTGTGTTCTTGTCCTTCACTGACAAATCTTTGTCACCAGTCTCTGAACCGTCTCCTGGAATCTGACCTCAGGGAGGTCCCACCTGAATGCACCTCTTTCTTCAGAGCAAACTTTTTTATTTAGGTTAGAAGCATTTGTGGGGCGCCTGGGTGGCTCAGTCAGCCGAGCGTCCAACTGCGGCTCAGGTCATAATCTCATAGTCTGTGGGTTTGAGCCCCGCGCCGGGCTCTGTGCTAACAGCTCAGAGCCTGGAGCCTGCTTGTTTCTGTGCCTCCCTCTCTCTCTGCCCCTCTCCCACTCGCTCTCTGTCTCTGTCTCTCAAAATAAAAAAAATAAAAAGACATAGAAGCATTTGTAACTGTGATGTCCAGATTTCCTTTCCCATCCTTGAAGTGATATATATGTATACACATTTGCCAATTATAGATGCTTCATGATAGAAAAGAATGAGAACACAGAAAAGTATGAAGACGGATGTGCTTTGTGACCCAAAGGTGACTACTGGGAATATTTTGATGCATTTTGTTCCAGTGTGGTTTGCTCTGTGATGATACAATGCCTCACGGAACCGGTCAACCAACCCATCACGAGCATTAGCCAGGTATGAGCTTCCAAAATACAATTTTTAATCAGCTTCTGCTTCTAGAACCTTTTGCTACAGTCTTGTCAGCCTTCTTTTTGGACTTGGGATCACATTTCTGCAGGCTGGTGCACGGCTGCCCCATCCAGCCTGCTGTTCTTTCTTCTCGTGGCCCCCACCTAAAGCCCCATCTGCGTGTCCTCTCGCTCGGTCAGGATTTCGTCAGAAGCAGCTCCCCACACCCCCTCTCCTTTCGTCAGCACATGTTGGCGAAGACAGCCCAGAACTGGTCACCGCCTTGGCTTAGCGGCAGCACCTACTGTCACCAGGGTCACCGGGATGACCTGGGTCTGCCTCTTCCCCAAATGCGGGGTGATATACGGGCCCCAGACCAACCGGTGGGCTCTGCGGGTGCTGAGTGGCGCCGTGTGAAGTGAAGCTGGTAGGTCACTTAAACCTGCCGCTGGGGTGGCGATAATGACAGCACCTTTTCATCAGGCTGAGACCCTTACATGAGGTGGGAAAAGAGTTTGGAGGCTCTTGTCGGGTCCCACCCCCGCCCCTCCCCCCTCCCAGGTCCCACCCACCTGCCTCCCACCCCGGGGTAAGGCGGTGCCCCAGCCCCATGTGGCCGTAGCCGTGTGTGCGTGCCGGGCCCACTGTTCTACTGGGCAACAAGAAACCTGCAACTAAAAAGCCAAACAAGTGGGGACGGGTGTTGGGGGGGGACACAGGGACAAGGCAGCGGTGGCCCAGGCGAGGGGCAGGCATCGTGGTGCCTGGAGCCAAGCCTTGAGCTCCAGCCTAGCTCTTTGTCCTCCTGGCCTGGGGCTTGTCCACATGCAGGCCGCAGGCCCGTGATTCGGGGGCTTCCCGGGGAATCTGCCTTTCCCATCAGCCCCTCAGTGTTGGCATCACTGCAGGGCCTTGGCAGAGTCCTGGGGAAGGAGGTTGGTGGGGAAGGCTGCTTTCTGGCCTCCAGGTGGGAGCACATCCAGGGGACCCGGAGCCAGTGGGGATTTGCGGAGGGAGGAGGCCCCAGCGGTGGGGGGGGGGGGGGCCGCAGCGGATGAAGCAGGGTCCAGGGCGCTCAGGCAGAGTTGGGGAGCCACGTCTTCAGCCCACACGGTGTGCCTGACTGCAGACCCAGCCCCAAAGGCCTGGGGATGACAGAGCAGGCCAGGCCAGGGCCCGAGGACACCATGATTGCAGGCCAGGCAGAGCAGAGGCCAGGGAAGCGGGGAAACCGGAAGGGGAGTGGGGCGGGGGTGGGGGGTTGGAGGGGAAGCTGGTGCCTGCCAGCCCAGGACAGCTGGTGCCCTTGCGGCCATTCTCAGACCTTCCTCGGAGCCTTCTCTCTGGCCCTGCGGTTCCTCCAGGTGCCGGCCCACAGAGCCAGCCGGCCCCGGCTTCTCCGGCCTCTCATCTGCCGTTGCAGAAAAACCACAGGCCACCGTGGCGGCTGGAACACCCCAGAGGAGCCAACTGTGACAGCACTGCGGGTTGAGGGCTTCGCAGCACGCCCACCTCCAAGAGGCCGGGGGAGGACACTGCCGACCCATCAAGGGGTCAGACCCAGCCACCGGCCACCCCTGTGAGGGAGCAGAGACGGACCACAAACCACCGCTCCCAGCTTGCCCGAAACCAAGCCCTGGATGAACGGCACGCACGACCTGGGGACGTGGGCTGTTCACCTGTGCTCAGGATGTCACCACCGGGAGACGGCGCCACAGCCTTCTCAGGCAGCTCTTAGTCTCTCCTTTCTCTGTCCCAAGTCTGCTTCTCTCTCTCTCTCTCTCTCTCTCTCTCTCTCTCCTCATTTCTATCGAGATTGAGGCCACTTACCAAAAAAATACACATGATATAAAACAAGCAGAAAAAACAAACTGGAACAGAAGCAAAGCTACAGTATTAAAATAAACACAGTTTGGAACTAGGGCTCCTGAAAGGCGCCTCCACCAGGTGGCCCGGCCGGGTCCTCAAAGGCTGCTTCACCCTCCCAGCAGCTCACGTGGAGAAACACAGGTTATGCGGGCCACCATGTCCAGAAGATGAACACATGCCCACAGCTCAAAGGAAGGGCGCTCTGCAGGCTGCACACATCTCTGCGACCCGCCAGAGCCCCGGCTGGCGGCCCCCTGTCCCAGGCACCCCAGAACCCACCTCAAGGATCAGGCTTCGGGTGCCCCCCACTGGGGCCCTGGGAAGGCCTGGAGGTGGGCACCGAGTGGATGACCCACGTGGCTCCCCAGCCCACATAGCTGTCCTAACAGCTCAGCCTCAGACCTCTGGGGACTCGGACGCCTCCCACACACACATCTCCTGTCTCTCCTCTTTGATGGGGACCCAGGCCGAAGAGAAAGCCTAGAACATCCTGGAGGCTGGGCGCCACCAAAAAAAGCACAGGCACACGGTTCCTGCCGAGTTCTGCCATTTCCCGGCTCTGAGCCGAGGCCCGGTCCTCTATGTGCTGTCCCCTCATGAGACACTGGCCATCTCAGACGCGGTTCCTACTTTGGAATGTCCTCCATCGTTCCTGCCTGCCCGAAGGACCCCGAATATCAGTGCATCTCTGGGACCAGTTTTGGGTCCAGGCTGCTCAGAAAATCAGGTGGAAGAATACATCTGAAGTAAGGCTACAAATACCCACCTCACGAGGCACCTGGGGGGCTCAGTCAGTTAAGCATCCAACTTGGGCTCAGGTTAGGATCTCAAGGTTCGTGGGTTCAAGCCCCACGTCGGGCTCTGTGCTGACAGCTCAGAGCCTGGAGCTTGCTTTGGATTCTGTGTCTCCCTGTCTCTCTGCCCCTCCCCCACTCATACTCTG